CACCATGGTTTCCTTTCCCTTCTTGGCAGCGTTGCCTTCTCCATTTATCAAAACTTGATATAAAGGTGTGACACTTAAATGGAATATTCTTCTAGAGAACAAACATTAATAAATCTGTTTGTACAAAGATAAGGTATGGGAATGCTTTATGTCAAGTTTCTGAAGTTCTCAAGGTCTGACTATATTTTTGTCATGTTTATTTCCATTGGGAAAGTCATCTGGAAGACCATGACAACACTGCTATAATCATTTATTGTTTTGTTTCCCTACATGTTCCATCATCTGGGTGAATCTCTTGACACATGGCAGAAGAGCCATTCTCTGCTTCAGAGCTTCAGAGCCTGAACATTTCTCTGTTTAATACAAATTAGAAAAGCATCAAAAACAAAGACTGCAAGCCCCTCATCCCAAAATACTTGATAGTCTCCCTGACAAGCGGGGTCACATCCTTGCAGGCAAATAAGGAAACTGGATTGCACACATTGAGCCAGCTGGTTTTGTTGTTGTTGGTTTTTTTTTTAAACTATTTGGCTGGTAGATTGAAGGGGCCAATGTCCAGCAGCTTTATAAAGCTATCTGAAATCACCCAGTGCACACACATACATACAGATGTTTTTCAATTTACCCAGCTACATCAAAAAAACTTGTTTGTGCAGCAACTGTTGCAAAGTCACAGTGAGTGAATTGGGAATTCAAGTAAACAGATGAAACCAAGCAGAACCAACTCTCTAGGTGTTTAAGTCAGATTTTCGTGCTGTTTTCCAGAAAGAGAAATTCATTCTGCCTGCACAGTTCAACATGCTCATGTTAAGTGTCCACGAACAGGCAGCCACACAGCTTTAACTGGGACAAAGGTAGGGATAACTGCTTTTAGCTTTTCTTTTTTTCCTTAAATAATATCTAAGATAAAGTTAAAGAAGGAAGGTATTTTTCATGTACCTCAGCCCATCTATCACTACCCAAATTTCCAAGGAGATGCACATTATTTGCCCACTCAGTAAAGGCATTCCAAATCAATGCATTTGCGCATGACACCTAAAATGAAGAGCAAAAATGCTTTGTGGAGATACTAAAAATGTTCTTTTACTATTTTTCTTTGATTTGTTTTCTTTATTGAGTTTTGAGTTTTTGCTTGTTGCCTCCTTAGGAACCAGAACCTATTCCCTCAGTCCTTTCTATTTACTCTTTGCTGGATGACAATTCTTTGGTTGAAATATACCTTATGGATATTTCAGGTCAAATGTGTGACCAAGAAGAACATTTCTATTAAGGTCCTGCCTTCTGCTTGAAGTGAAAACTGTAAAACTATTTACTAACATGTTCCCATAGTCACAAGTAATACTGGAAAGCAGCGTGTTTCTCTGTAACCAAATACCTTCATTTGTGTATAGTTAACCAAACAAGCACAATGAAGCAACTGTCTAGAACAGCATGGCTTCCTAAATATATAAAACAATAAGCTACTTTTGAAGGGTATTTTTCTTTCAGATCCTAGATCGACTACCTTGAACATAAGAGTCCCTTTAATTTTTAGTATATGAAAGCTTTCTACTGTTCCTCTTTTGATAAAAATGATAAAAGTCCCAAATCAAACGCATGCCGGAATCTACCTGTTGTTAGCATCACGGTTTCAGTCCTTAGCAATATGCTTAAAAACACATCTGCCAGCTGAAAAGCCAAGTTCAGAAAAATGAAACAAATAAAAACCCCCACAGTTTATAGTAACAGCTGATCCTAGCTGTAAAGGAAGCAGATGGGACTCATCCATATGCTATCGGAAAGTGGGATACCACACAACATCTAAGCTATCAAGAAAGAATCAGATGTTCTGACAAGAGAGAAAATACTGTATTTTTAAAGGCAATTTTATGTTCTAGAAAGTTATAGCAGTATTTTTATAACGTTAATTCCTCATGCTATTTACTGCTTTCAGATGGGATAATTCTTACAAGCACCAATAGCTCAATGAACATAAACCGATTTCAACCAACATTAAGATCTGTATCTACAGAATCATTACAAACCTTGTGGGGTTTACTCTAAAGAATGCTGAAATGCTCTAAATAATTACAGAAGGAATTTAATAAGACACTGAGTGTTAGTAATACCATGACACTAGTACCTGCTTAACCAATACAAACAAATGACACTCATGATGTCTACAAAAGGCTAAAAACATTAAAAATCTGAAATTTAATAATAAAAATATGCATTAATTTTGTTGCAGTAGAGCCCTTTTGCTGATCAGAAAGGTACGAAAGCTATTTTGAAAGACAACTACTCCTACCTAAGAGGTAGGAAAGTAGTTCAGATCTCCTAAACCCCACTAAAGAGAACAGAGGAGTTTCACTGAAGATAAACACGTCCTCATTAAAGTAAGCTAAAATATTGCTAGTGATTTACAGAGGAATCAGAATATGATTCTTCACAACTTCTCAACAGCTGAAGTGTCAATTACCAAAATGTTCATGAAAAGAAAATCAGTGTTCAGTGTTACTGAGATATTCCCACCATAATCAGGTATTTCAAATGTTTAAATGTAGAGGAAAGGGTGAGAGGCCAACTAGGCAGCTACTGGTACAGTATTAAGTTCTTTGGTTTTAAAACCAATGAATCTAGTGAAAAACATAAAAGAAGCTTTAATTTTAAAGAATTTCTGTAGGAAGCAAGTAAGTAGTATCAAACAAACGCTTGCATGCATCTGCAACACTTTGCTCCAAAGAGAGTACAAAGTACAACACAAAATCCTGAATAGCATCAGTAAAGAAGCTAAATGAGGAAACCCAGAATATATTCTGAAGGATGGTGAGGTGAAAGGGAAATGTTAGAGGGTTACTCTTAATATGCTGAGAGTATAACGTGTGAGAATATGTTGATCTGTAGTTCTAAAAATCAGTGGAATATGTCTTTAATATGGAAAAAAATACAGTTTGTTTCAACGAAGTATTTTTATTAAAACAAGGGCAGATGTAACAAGTAGCTGCACTTAAACTGTTTGAGTGACCTAAAACACTGGGAGGGAAGTTTTCAAGATGTGAACAAAAGTTCCCTTTTCTTAGGAACTGCAAGAGCAGTTCCATTCCACGGAATTGTTCTTTCAAAAAGTCTAAGAAACATATGTCAGCAATTCTAGGGACTTGGTTAAACCTGAGATTTGTCCTTACAGAATGACAAAGGGATAGCATGATCTTTTGCAGAATTTGCCTTGCAAGAAGAGCTGGAGGTGATGAACAGTCTTCATAGGCCACCTACAGTCCAACATTAAATGTGTTAATGACCCTAGTGAAGCCTGCTTGACTGATCTCCAGTCAGCTACCATATGCAAAGGAATAAGCACAGAGATTAGTGACAAACTATTTTCTCAGAAGCAAGGGGAAAAGGACTATTCTATTCTTCTCCCAATTTTCCTCTGAAGCAGCATAATTGTTCCTCCGATTTTCCAAAAGAGGATCCACAGAATTACAGCAATGTTTCATTAGTCACACAAAACATCATTTTCCCAAAATAAACCACAATCAATTAATTAGATCACTTTAGTGGTGAAGATGTACAAACAGTTGATTAATGTTTAATGCCACTTTTCACAAAAAATAAGAGGCAATAAATGGTGCATGAAAAAACTGAAAGCTCAAGGGAACAGAAGCCTACAGAAATCTTACTTTCAGGTTTACAGCTAAATAAGTGTGAAAAAACTCCCTGAAAGTAGCTGATTTTTCCCCTTTTTGTGGAGAACAGTTTGGAAGAGAATATGTGAAAATTTAAGCACTGTTTTGACATCTTATTCTGTAGGAGAATTGAATTTGGATTAAATTCCTCTTTATCTATCTGCAAATAATTTTTGTTAACATTTCATTATTTGATAACTGTAGGATCCAATTCTGATCAAGTACCTGAAGGCTAGAACAATACTGTTTAGAGAAATACTACACTCAGGCAAATATTTGCATATCTATTAAACTGCATTTTCCAAAGATATTATGCAATTAGAATCACAGGATAAATTTAGGTTGTAAGGGACTTCTGGAGTTCAGCCTCTAGTCAAAGCAGGGCCCGTTGCTCATGAATTTCTCCAGCTGAGTTTTGAATAGCTGCATGGATGGACATTTCATAGCCTCCTTAAGCAAAGTCTTCCAGTGCTTAACCACTCTCGGTATCAAGCTTTGTCTTTTCTATCCAGTCAGAATTGCCCTTGCTGAGACTTCACTGTTGCTCTTGTCTTTTCCTTCTACAGTTCTGAGAAAGGTCTGGCTTTATTTCTTTTTTATAGACTAAACATGTTCCTTGTTAAAGAAAATTAAATACAAAAATTACAACCTGTGAATACTGGATTGTCTATAAAGCTGTATCCATCTCTAAGATATCAAAACTAGGCTGGGAAAACAGCCCTGATTGATAAACTCATTGCAACCTACAGAAGCAGTTACCTGTGGCCGTCAGATCTAAAATGCATACGCTCAGCAGAGAACTGTCAGACAAGAAGCAGCTCCACCATCAGGACATCTACCTTTTTCATCATCTTCCTAAGAGATTATGTGTAAACCCTCTTGCACATGACTTCCTTTCTTTGGAAGGAAGAGAAGACAGGAAAAACACACAACTGTCCCCTTCCTCCCCTTCCACCAGTGTCCCATTTTCATCCTACCAGCATTGACTGCTAACATAAGCGCTGATAAATAAAACACTCAGCTTCCAGTCTGAGTGTTTTTTATAGATATAGAAAAGAATAGCAATCCCTCAATAATAGCCAATATTATAATTCCATACTGATTGCAATTTAGGCACTAGTTCTCAATTATGCTAACACGTAAGTGGGAACATGGGTTTTTATCAGAATATTGCCATCACTTTGTGTTGCTGTCACCTTTTACTGTCTTGGAGCCATTGTGGTCTCCAGATACAGCTAAAGTGAAGGTCCCTACAAGTGATTTGTTAAAAGAGTGCCAGTGTAAAAATACCTGTGCTTTGATGTACAAATAAACATGAAAAAAATATAGACATACCTGGTCCAATGCAGAACGATGCAATGATTGCAAGGATGCAAAATATACTGAGATAAGGAAGCCAGTGCACGGTTTTCTGCATAGATACAAGACATTTACATTAAGTGCATTGTACATATCACCAATATTAAAAGGATCACAGATAACAGATAGTGTTTTCCACAACTCTTTATCCATTTCAGAATTTAGTCAAGGATTACTTTAGAAAATCACAGTATTTCTATAGAACCTTATTAGACGATTTGCATTAAAGGCCTTGGTCTCTGTGGAATCCCTGCAGAGAAACACTAGACAAACCCTTTCACCACAGAACTCACAAGTCTGAATGTTCACAGCTTCTTGTGCTAAAGTTCAAGCCAACCTGGAAAAGAGTTTTCCTTTCCATTGAACAGATTTGGTACCTCTATCCTCCTTGGTTATTTCAGTCATGTTTGAAAAACAGCAACTATGATGGCTCATAGAGCTTCAAAGTTCACCAGTTAAAGGCTGGGCTGAAGTCTAGACATGACAGCTGTATCTGAACTTTAGCAAAGCATGAGAAAGCCACAGACCAGGGATTTTTAGCCGTAATCTGGTTTTGCAGACAAGGAGGGCCATGTGCGCAAACAACAGTTACAGGGCTAAAAAGAACAAACTATAAACAGTTCTTTAAGGGAATTGAAAGAGGAATCAACTGTTTTCCTCGCAAGGCAATATTTTTTAATACTTTTAAGTAGATTTTTCTTTATTTGGACCTCTAAATGATAGGAACTTGAAATACAATAAGCAATTTCTACTGAGTTTTTTTGACACTTTTTCTTAATCATATATGTGAATACTTCATAACAATAATAATAATAATAGATGGGAAGCACCCATGAATTCACATTCCCATCTGTCTTCATCAGTAGGCTTTTTCCATCAGCAAAATATGAATGTCACTTTTATTAGAATTCTACTATTTTTGCAAAGTTAAGATACGTGTAACTGTAATTTCACAAAATATCACCTGGAGTGGCACTGTGAAAATATACTTGCTAAAGTAGGTAATTATTTATTTCAGTGTTAAATAAAACCCCATTTTACAACGCTTTTTTTCTTCCAGTCTGGATTATTCCATTAGTTACGTGGAAGACATGGTCTCCAAGGCATTAACGTTAATCAAGAGACTTGTAGATGTATCAGAATTACGCATTCTGGAGTTCTCACTAGAATGCAGTTCTGTAAAGGCACTGAGAGCAGGTGTAAATATGAAGTAGATACAAATTTCTGTGAGATCAAGCCTATTTGTACCCTGGTTCTTTGTTCAAAGCAAATCTGTAATAGTCAACAAATTGAGACACTTGTGAGAAGAAGTAAAATTGAAATGCACCCAAACTTCAGAGATTTACAAAAGCTGAAGGTCCTCAGGCATCAAACTAGGTTTTAAAAGACTTGGAAGAGAATTTTTCACTCAGTATACAAAACTTGCAATAGCATCTGTTTTCTTGAGAGCTGTCTTTTAGCTGTCATGATGGGTACATGAAGTAAAGCTTTATTGTGCAGTACATACAGGTAAGTCAAAACTACAATGGTGTGGCATACACCTGCTAGTCAAACCGACTTACTGACTCTCTTCAGCCAAAAACAAGATTTGAAAGTCAGATTGATGGCTAGACACAGGAATCACTGACAGCAGGAAAACAACTTGAAAGACCACCCAAACCCCTGTCATTGCAGATGTCAGTTTTATTTCTCGAAAGCCCTCAGGAAGAGAAAGAAAGTGCATTGTTGTGGAAATGGAAGCTAAACAAGGAAAAATGACTCAGGGTCAGTGTTTAGTTTGGTTTAATAATCCTTCTCTGACCGTTTGAAATAGGTGGGGAACTTACTGCTATTAACACCTGAGAATGTAATGTTAAGTCTTTCAGTTTTCAATAAAAATATCAGAAATGTAACTGGAAACAAGCAGCAAACATGGAAATTTTTTGTTACTGGGGAAAAAAACATCCAGACGTAAGAATAAGGATGACACATAAAGTATGAAAGAAATCTCAAGAAGACTGCATTACAAACAAGGATAAAAACATGAAACATGGGTAAACTATTTACCCAACTATGGGTAAAATTGTCTTTGTAATAGTGCATCATATGCATGAGTCTTTGAGTTAAGGGGATTGAATGTGACAAAGCCCCTATGGCTTTTTAATGTAAAAGCTGCTATGGCTGACAATAGTGCTTTGAAACCAAGATTCATAAGCAGAAGGCAGACTTTCAATCCTTATGCCAAACTGATTATAAGGAGTGACTTATGTAGGAAAGCCAAGGCAAACTGGTATTAAGCATCTGGTGTTTAAAATAGGCAAAAGAGAGAGTAAAAACATAGAGTGACCATGGTGTTACCTGTAACGTCAGAGAGACAGTAAGTACTGCGAAGAAGACAACCATCAACCCAAAACCTCCAATGAGGAGAGGTCTGCGTCCTAGCCGCTCAATAACCAAGCCCTGGAAAACAAAAAGCAGCATTTTACTTTCTTGATAAAACACTGTAGAACTCAGACCACGTAACACGTTCTCCAAATAAATATGATCATTAAAAATAAAACCATGAGAGCTGATTTTATACTATTTACCAGCTATCGTTTGTTCATAATCATGTTCACAGTTAACATTTACACAATTCAACTTCTTCGAAAAAACAAGTCAACACAACATCCTTATTTGAGAGCACTGAAAAAACTAGGAAACCATCAAAGCGGTACTTCGTATTAGCTTTATGCCTGGATCTCCTACTACAGAACAAGTATAAAAATATAAATAGGAAAAATGTGCAACTGCTAAATTCAAGATGAGTTCCATGACATTTAACTTCTTGTGCAACAATTTAATAATAAAACAAGCACTGTACATTAGCTGCAGGAAATAATTAGCATGATGATAACTATGTGAAGTTTGATTTTTTTTCAGGGCATAAATAATTGTACATTATTGAATCACTTACAAATTTGTACCAAATGTCTATAAGAACATGTTTAGAATATTTATTTCTTAAATGTCAAAATGTTGAAGCAAATCACAGTCCTTTTTTTTTTTTGTATTTTGACTGTTCTTAATTTCAACATCTCTCTGAATTTAAAAGGTTTAAAGTGTAAGATTAAAAGCTTTTTAGCATAGATTAGATTTTTCTTAGTCTAAAATTTATTTTTAATTTCTTTTTTCTCCAAACACAGAAGAAATATTTAGTTATGATTTTGGACATTTAATGTAATAAGAATATCTAGATATAAGAAATCCACCCAGCAGAAAACTGCTCAGGTAAGTGATTGTAACAGTGATACTTGTGTACTCAAGCACATTCTGAATTTTTATTTAAGTCCTGAAGATAAATCAACTTTGTTAAAAGCAATCATAAAATCTGAATACTTATGTGATATGAGAAGAACACAATGATGATTTTCTTGAAAAGCTGTAGCATGAAACAGTCTGTGTTAGCTTGACTCATTAAATTAGGCTAATATCTATTTTAGGCTGTAACAGCACATGTACTATTCTTGTTGATAACTACTATAATTACTAATTACAGTTTGCTTTCATGTGAGAAAGATAAAACAATTATACAAAGCTTGAAATGTACCACTTCAAATAAGTCAGAATCACACAACTGTTTGCCATGTTGCTATTCACTGGAGACTGAAATCTGTCTTTGACGCGTGCTTTGAGCGCAAGATAAAATCAGCAACTAAAATGAAATCTGGAGTAAGGCCCTTAATTCTGTGTGATGATGCACACCTTTCCACTGTGAGTGTCTAGAAGACATGCACTAAAGAAAATGACAAAGTCCAGGTAAGCAATTGCTTGTGCAGCAAGCACTTCTCCCACAGCATCAGGTTCAACAGGGGATTTTAGGACAGGCTTTAAAACATGCCAACCCCACACCCTGCCAAGCTGGAATTCACACCAGAGATGCACACTGTGATGCTGCAGAACACAGAAAGCAGATCTGGGATGAACTTTAGCATTCTTTGTTTCTTTAAATAAGGAGATATATTCATTTTGACAGATTCCACAGCTTCCATAACAGAATTTATTCCAGAGCCATGTTTAAAATAGACCTACACTGACGTTATCAACATTTCTTATTGTGCTCATGAGGTCCAAATATCCCAAAAGTGCAACTGTCAAAACCTCTACAAGATGCCAAGTATTTTCCACTATGATTAAAGAATCCATCTTGCAAACACACGTGGCCGCACATACTTAACCAAGAGACATATTTTATGGCTCTGAGGGAAGAAAAGTCATCTGATGGGTCTATAAGAAGACAGAGACTTCTGCAATAGATGCTTCTCATGTAATTTGATATGACTTACACTTTCAGCAATAGATGTTGTAGATGTAATTTGACATACCAGATAATTTCCTTTATTTTTTTCCAAATCTGGATTGGTGATCATGACTAAACAGTCTTGGTGTTACACCAGCTGGTGGGTTTTGTATTAAAACAGGGCAAGGGATGAATGTTACTCTTAGAGGGGAAAAAGTTCAGAGATGCCTCTCACTCAGAGCAAAACATGGGAAAAAGTGATAGGTTTTGGTTGTAAAGCTCAAAGCAAAGCAAATCCTCATAAGGGAGGACAGTTTGGACTGAGTCCTCTGAAGACGTGTATTCATTTGTGTCTACATACACTGAGAATAAGTAGGGCGGATGTATTTGGACAAATCTAGGTGGGTTGGTAAGGCACTCCCAGTTTTCATTGAGACCAGCCAAGCAAAGATAGACTTACAGCAGATCTGTGGGTCCATATCCTTTATACAGAAAAGAATAGTAGCATTTTAATATACTTAAACTCTTTTTTACTCAATCTGGGAAGAAATAAAGCAAATCCATGTGTAATCATTCTTTTCTCTGAGCTGATGCCAGGTTTCTCAAGCATTCATCACTGATATTTATTTAATACAGTAACAATTAGGAACTTTCATGAAAGTTCCTTCCTTTCAGCTTCTGGGTATTCCCTGCAGTTTCTTCCCCAAAGAATTTGCAGTTACAATTCTTGGTGACATTTCTTGTGATTTATGGAATGGACCAACTTTGTTCACTGGAAAAAATAAGCAGGAATTCTGTGTTTCTCCACAGAGACACTATGATATGTCCAGAACTGCTGGAAATCCTATAATAATTTCCAAAGTTGATATGAAGTTAAGTACACTGACAACACTAATAAATCTAGGAAATAGAGAGTTGAAAGGTTTGTCAATTAGACAAGATTAACTTGCACAATTATGAGGAGAGGAAAGCCTATTTCCATTTTAAGCTAAGAACACATCCAATTTGTTCAAATCTGTGACATACCTCTTGTATTACTAGTTCCAGCCCAACAAAACACATCTGCTTATGGCACAATATCAAAAGAGGCACACCAGTCTCTGCTGGAATGGGATACTACACAGAATCAAGCTCATGAGAAGCCAAGCAAAACAATCAAAATCACGCTCCCTAGCTAGTTATAAATTACAAAGCTGTGGTCTTACTAAAGGCAGCATGTGTGTTTGGAAGGAAATGAGTCTGTGGCTTTGCTGGTCAGGAGGCAATGCAGAAGTATCCCAGGGTCCTTTGGCAGATCACAGTTGTTTAACTGGGAGCCAAACCACAAAGAGAAGAGCCTCTCAGGAGGCACCAGCTTTCACCAAGGCCAAAAAGGTTTTTTGAATCGTTTAAAGCACACTGATACTCTAACAGCCAGTCTGTCAAGCTGCTTAGGCCTACAGTATTTCTAACTAAAATTTGATTGATTTTTGAGGATTTCTTAAGAAAACCTGTGACAATACATCCGTACCTCAAATCTCTCTGCTGAATTATTTGTTCACCTTTTCTTGATGGAAAAAAAGCTCAGTTAAACCCTGAAGTTTCAGTAAATACTCAAAAAGAAATGTCTAACGTGCCTTCTACAACAGCAAATTTGGTGAAAAAAATGCTGGTTTTGAGGTTATAAACAGAAAACAACTTCATTTTTACTTATGATTATACAAATCCAAAACTCGTTAACTTGCAAAACCCACTAAAATGCTTATGAGTCATAAGAAATTGAAGATGATTCACTAGTTTTCAAGTACTTATAGTTCTGAATGCTCCACTGCTGTGTGCCGGTAACTTACAACATGTTGTATATATGTTATATGTATTACAAGACCTATAATAAGTCAAAATATACTATATGGTAGAGTGAATGACATAACAAGAAATTCAGTATATGCTCAAGTGGAGTCAAAAAAAGAAGAATCTTAACTGTTTTCTGTGATAGCACACTGAGTTATTTGCCAAATTGTGTAGGCTGATAGGTGTTTATGTGTGATCACAAACATACAGTTGGAGAAGCCTCTGCCCAGCCATGGCAAATTACTGAAAACGTGTAAAAAAACATTGCAACCAGTATTCTCTCAACACAAATATTTGGTGATAACAAGGCAACTGATATGCAGACTAGGTTAACAGTTCACACAAGTCACTTCTGTCTGGCAGGAAGCACTTGTGAATAAAGTTAAAAAAGTAAATGTCAATTTTTTCACTTGAGTCAGCTGCAGATACTGGGGCTGACATAACGAAAGCAGAGTGCATTAAAAAAGATCAGACAAGCTTCTCTGGGTAAAATGAAAGTGTAAGCAAGTTCTACAGCACAAATGGGAGGTCACTGAATAATATTCCATACTTATTCCCTGGCCCTAAATTGTACTAAGAAAACACTATTAGATTTTCTTGATGTCTCAGCTCTGTAAGGCAATTTGAACTGTATGCTTGTGTCATAGAGTAACCACACTTTTTCTCATGTATTTTGGATAGAGGTCTGAGTAAGACATGCCAAGATTCAGAATTAATGTGACAAGCTAACTCTGTGTTATTTTCATTTTAAATAGCAGGATTAAAATGGATAATCACATTTATATCACTGTCAGGTCTATTTATGACACAATGTGTAATACCTTGCATCCAGGAAGAGGAGAGTAACAGAAGACTGAGTGTTACAAATTGTTTTGTTTGTTTGTTTTTTAATTTATATATTTATGTCTATCAATTTTTCTACTGTATGAATTATACAGTTATAAAGCAAAGAAATGGACTATTTTATGTAAGCACAGAATTTAGAGACCTAGCACCAAGTTTGACTACATAAGCGCAAGCCTTAAGTAAATCTGTGTCTACCCTGCTCTCACATCAGTTTGCCTGTGTCTGTGCTAATTCCACAACAGGGTAAGATTCTACTCATCTTCTGTAGGTGCCAGGCTGTGGATTACTATCAGTAAAGGGTGAGCCTGACTGCTGAATTTCTAAGGTCAGTCTGAACTAATCTGCAGTAAAGCATCCTTAATCAGCTTCACTTGGCAGTATAGTTTTCCATTCACTAAAGAGGGTCTCTCCATACTCGATGCCTTCCGGACCAGCAAGGCAAAGACAGCCCATGCAGGAATTTACTGTAGTGGGCTGCTTTTGCCTCAGCAGTGTCTGGGAACAA